GGACGCCCGCGAGGCGGGGGCGGCGCGGCGTGGGCCTCTGATCCCCGACGGCGCCGTGGACTGCGTGCGGTTGAGAGACGCGCTCTCGGGCTCCGGAGGCGTGCCCTGGCCCTGCATGGATTTTGGAGAGAAAGACCTCACCTTGGCTTCTGGACCGAGCGGTTCAGGACCCGGCGAAGTCCCTGATCCGTCCATCCCCGGCGAAGCGCGCCACTGTAGCCCGCACGTGACCACCTCGAGCAAGATGGCATTAACAGACAGGCAGCGCCTCGGCAGGTCCCTGATGGGTACGTGCCGCTGCCGAGGGGGCTGCGCTCGCCGACCCGGCCACTTCGGGAATCCGCAAGTTATTTGAGACTTAGCAGGGCACTCTGGTGCCCAGGTCTACCAAATCCGACTCGAGGACCTCGGCATACCTGATGTGCTCCGGAGGCGCTTTGTAAACCGTTTCTCCTGCGGCGAAGAGGGTACAGGGTGAACTAAGATCTCCGGGAGAATGAGCAGCTCAAAAAAGCTGTGAATCAACCTCGAATCCCGAGGTGCCCACGCGCAGTTAGATTCGGCGACTCATCCCTTCCTCTGAAAGCGCAGGTGTCAGTAGGATGCACACACACCTGCTCCAGAAAGTTCCCTCAGAAGGGAGTCCCAGCGCTAATGGGACCCGGGAGTGCCAATGAGATCAGACTCTCCAGCCCTAGATGGTGTCAAAGCCCCTGCCTTTGAGAGAAGAGGAGGTGCCCACCCAGACACGCACCCGCCACACAATATCTTGGGATCTTAACACTAGGCATCTTTCTCTGTTTTGGCAACCTTGGGAAATACCCACATTACAAACAACAGATGATTTTTTTTTTTGTAAGTACCACGGAAAAAACAAGGTAACAGGAAAAAGGAATGTAAAAAGAATATCCATTGCCACACAATTTGACTTCCCAAACAAAACCTTCTACATAGATACTTTTACATGCTTGCAAGCACACGTTTTCTCTTATTTTCTACTTTGACTAACATGTTGTGTTTGCATGATCATTTTTAAGGTATGCGGTTCCTACTTTTTTGTATTTTATTTCGTTGCAGTTATCTGCTAACAGATCCTTGAGTTCTACACGTGGGATTAATTTTTAGGAGTGGAAGTATCTTCAGGTGGAAAGCTGTGCATGGCCCTATATTGCCCCAATTGTTCTTTCATCAGCCAGGAACAGCATCAGGAATCTAATGCACATTTCTAAACACCGAGTGACATCTTTTCTCCCCTGCATTAATAATGCCTACACTAATAATCTTGAACGATCAAGACTACCTTATCTGGCCTTTCTTGGATGACTAAACACTCAAAATTTCCCCATTTGCGATCTGTATTTCCCCTTCTGTGAATGACCTGTTGTTCATATCCATTGTCTTGAGGAGTTGAATCTCTTCTAACTTTAAACAAGTCTTTTTTTTTATGTTATTGATGCAAATATTGCCCAGCCTGATGTTCTTTTTTGTTTTAGTTTACAGTTCATTTGTCATTCTAGTTTGTTTTTGTTTTTTTTGTTTGAATGCTACCAAAGTGAGTTTTCATGTACCCATCTGCTAGCTTGTATAATTTCTTAATAATAATTTCTTATTATTTTATAGTCACCTATATAACTTTATTTTTTTGCTATATTTGGGAGTAAAATGTAGATTTAATTCCTCTCCTCTGTCACAATGGTTATTGTTTATGCAGTCACCATTTATTAAATAATTCTCACCTGTTCTTTGCTTAGCAAAACCTACTTTTTTGCTATGCTTTGCTTTCAGCTTGTGTATTTCAGAATCCTCCATTTCCCCCGTAGACGTTGGTTTCAGCAAACACCATATAGTTATAAATATTGGTTTTTTGAAATAGCTTTCACATCTGACAAGGGTCAATTCCCACTATGAGATTTTTTCCTAATAGCACTGGTTTACATGTCCATACACATTCTGGGATAATTGTATCAGGAAAGGTTAAGAGCATTGTTTTCAAGGGCTAGAGAAATGGCTCAGCAGTTAACAGTATATATTGTCCTTGCCGGAGACCTAAAGTTCAGTTCCCAGCACCCACATGGAGTTCACAGCTGCCTGTACTTGAGCTACAAGTGATCCAGTACATCACGCACCAGCTGGTGCCTACAAAAGTAAAATAAATCTAAAGAGAAAACAGATCATGGGCTTTGAGGATAAATGAGGTTCAACACTGAGCAGCCCTGTGACCTTGGCAAGTTACTGTTCCAGGCCTTACAGTTTGGGTCTGTAAATGGGGATCAGGATAACACCACCTCACAAGCTCGATGGCTGGCACTCAGTAAGTCCTTAATGTTGGCTACTGTTATTAATCATGTTTTCTGTTCCAAAGAAATATATATATATGAAAAATGCCACAATGAAACCCATTTCTTTGTACACTAGCACTAATAATGATGATGATGATAATAATAGCCAAAGGTTGTAGTAGTAAGGTTGGAGCTGGAAGTGGAGGCAAATGGCCTGCAGTCCCAGCACCTGGGAGGCCCCAGAAAAGTGGACCAGTCATGATAGACCTTTAATTCTAGCACTCGGGAGGCAGATCTCTGTTAATTTGAAGTCAGCCTGATCTACATAGAAAGTTCCAGAACAACCAGTGCTAGCTACATAAAGAGATCCTCTCTCTCTCTCTCTCTCTCTCTCTCTC